GGGGGCAGTGCCAATTAGTTTATTGTTGGACATATTTTTGCTCGGTTGGGGGGGGGGCACTTGGCTTTCCCCGGAGATATAGCTGAAAGAAACCCTGCTCACGAAAACCACTAAACGATAAAAAGAAAACTGAAGGTTTTATTTTTTTTTAAAGACTATCTTTCGATGGCTCCTCTGCAGTTCACGTTTTCTTTAATCAACGACTTTGTAAATACTAATTGTTTAGCAGGCATTGTTGCTATTTAGAGCTATGGCCCTTCAGGTAGCCTTGCCCATGACCACTGTATGCCTTGACCTCTACTCTAACTCTACCGCCCGTATAAATGAGGCGTCAAATTGCAAACCCTGCTAAGTCAATTTTTTGAAAAAAATGAGTTAGTCCCCTTGGCTCATCTATGAAGCGTTATTTCACAATATTTTACTAGTTTTTAAAATCCAAACCCGCTAAGTTCGCTTATTTCGCTATTTAAAAACGGAGGCTATTGGGATCCGGCTGGTCACGTGAGGGCTTTAGATTTATTCGGTTGGTCACGTGATAGTTATGACGGATACTTCCTGTTGGTTTGCCATCTTAGAGCCATTATTATCAATCGAGAAATGTGCCATATTTTGAAGAATTTCATCTAGCGTTGAAGAAACACGAAGAACAATGTGCTTACATCTAAAAGCAAGTAAGAATACGTTTATGTTTATAATTTTATTGTATTTTTAAATTCTATTTTAAATATAGTTCTATAATCATTAACATAACATCAATCAAGATTCAAGATCAAAGTTTTTTTTTTGGCGGCTACAGGCTACTGTCTTATCTGTAATTGTAATGAAAAGTTTGGGTGCAGCTATTCGGACCCGGTATCAGAAGTGGGTACTTCAATTTTAATTCACCGCAAAAATTATTATTATTCACTTTTCCCATAAAACAAATGTTCTTTTGAATAAAAAAAAATGGCCAAAAACAATTCGGAGAGATCAACCCGCGGCCGCCATCTTGGTTAATTCGACCCACGAACTTATGTCCTAAATGTAGGCACTTGGATACAAAATTTTAAAAAATTCAAATAATTTTTTTAATAGCACAGTTAGTCAGAGCTAATTTCAAATAAAAAAATGAAACCAGAATCAACTTTTTAGCTTAAGTACTTTTTGAGCTATGAATTTTTAAAGTGTGAGTTCGTTTGGTATTTTTTACTATGGACTATGGACGAAACCTCCACATCTTGTGACCTCATTCCGTTGATCGCGTCATGCGCAATGACTATATAATATATACTTTATATAAGGCAACGCATCGCCTTATCACTAAAATACTGTTTAGACTTAGTTTAAACTTTCAACTTTGGCACATGAATAATTAATTAAAGCTTTCCCTGACCAATGGTTTAATAGTTTTTGCACACGGCAAACTCTTATGAATGAAACTCTNGGGGGAGGGGGGGAGGAGAATTTTATTATATTTTTCGAAAAAACGCAACCAATATGTGATAAAAAATAAAGTGAAAATAAAGCAAAATAATTTTTAAAGTAACAAGGCAAAAAATAAATTGTTTTAATTTTCTTTTCTGGTTTTAATTTTTAAATCCACTTATCAAATAAATAAAAACTCTTCTGATATTTAAGTTAATATTATTGTGAATTGTTAAAAAGTTAATAATTAAAGAAAAATTCAATTTTCTATTTTTTTTTTTTTTTAAATTGAAGATTTACAAATTACATCAAGTTTTGAATGTTTATTAAATGGGAGGGGGTGGGGGTAGGCTCGGAAACTTTATCATTTGGCTATTAGACATTAGCAACCATATGAAAAACAGTACAGGCCAAAGAGTGAACGTTAGTGTTCAATCAAGAATCCATGACATCGTAAAATTTGATTATTTCAATTACTTCTTCAATGCATTCAAAATATAATGCATCTGTAAAAAATCCAGCCTAATTTTCATCAATTGGAAAAAATATTTGTGGATTGAAACACAGGTAACTAAGATATTAAAATTATAGGCCTACGTTGTAGTATTATAAATGAACAATACCTTTAAAGATATATTTTTTTTTGTTAAAAAAATCGTTATAATGTAAATTTACAAGAAAAAAATAAAAATACTTATTGTTTCCATAATAATATCAATCCATTTTAACTACAATTATTATTAATAAATTTTGCTTTATTGCTTTGCAAACCCCACTTCTAATCAACAGATTTACAATAAGAAAAATCATTTTTTGATGAAGAGCCTTTTGCCCTTGTAAAAGGAATTCTGTGTTGATTAGCCTTGTAAGCTTTGTTTCCAAGTGACTTCTATTGTGACTTCAAGCGACATGTATTGTTGATATTTTTACCAGAGAATTCGGAGGTAATATTTACTAACCTAACTCCAGTGGGTATTGATATTTTGGATTATAAATTAATTTTTTAAAAACAAATTGTTTCTTTTAAGTGATTAAAAAATTTTTAAATGTCTTTTTCAATAAATTTCAGTCAATTAATGTACCATGTTTTTCAGGGGCATTAATTGAATCTATTATTACATTAATTACATAGAAAAAACCCTTAAAAAAAAAAAACATGTAATTTTTATGATCTTGGGAAATCTTGGGAAATTCATTCACAAAATCTTGGGAAATTTAAAAAAAGTGAGTGGCAGCCCTGGCCAGGCATGTTAATTCTATTTCCGCCCACAACTTAGAGTAGACATGTTGTGTTAGTGTTATGATTAGACACTTGAGTCCCCCAAAAAATTTTGGGGCTTCACTTTGAAAATTGAAGGTAAAATAACGCAATTTTTACTCATTCGTATTTTTTTGTGGAAAGGAACCTTTCTTTGAATTTCAGGGACTTTGTAAATAATGACATTAACAACAACATATGAAGACCACAAGTCACAAGGGAAAAAACGGCAGAGTCACATTTTTGTTGTTTTGAGATATTCGATTTTTAAAGTTCAAAACCATGCACATTAAAAATGTGTAAACAAAATGTAATTTTTAAAATGCATTTCACAAGAGTGTCCATTTCCCTGAGTTATTAAATAGATAAATTAATTCAAACTTGAATGTAACATGATTTATTTCATTATAGTAGAGAGTGGGGTCAAAATGGACTCTGCCGTTTTTTCCCTTGTAGTAATTTATCAAGGTTTGATCATTGCTAAATATCTATTTAAAACTATTTTATAAGTAAAT